TCCTGCTGGCCATGAACCTGGCTGGAGCCACCCACGGCCACGTCCACAACTGGCTGCTCCAGGAGATAAAGAAGGATGCAGTGGAGAGAGCCCAGACAGGTGGGGAAGGGACAGGAGAACCCAGAGCGGGGGAGGGGGTGCGCCTGATCCCAGCAGACCCGTACTGCAGGCTCAGCACCGCCAGCTCCCAGGACACCACATCCCATCCCACCACTCTGTCCTCTTGTCCCCACAGATCTGACCTCGGGACAAGTGGCTCTGTACATCCTCGCCCTCCTCTCCTCCTGCCAGGATCCCCAGCATGTCCATGCCCTGGAGCAGACCCTTGACCTGATCAGTGTCCTGCAGCAGAAAACAGATGAGGAGACGACCAAACTGGGTTTGTTGGGGCTTGGGGGTCTGGGGCTGTCACTGTCCCCACACCCTGTCATCTTGCCACTCTTTGCTTTCAGAGGCCGAGGGGATTCCCAAAACCACCCTGTACAGCCTGGGCCTGGACACCCTGGCCCTGTGCCTGGCTGAGGCAGATGGTGCTCAAAGGCCATCAGTGGCCCTGGCCAAGCAGCTGCTGAACCCCGAGAGACCCATCTCTGTGGGTAAGGAACTCCTCTGCTCCCACATTCCCACTGCTGCGGTCTATCCCGAGCCTTGGCGGTGACTCCAGGACCCCACAGACACCCAGGCCATGGTGGCACTGGCGCTGGCCTGTGTCTACGACCAAGTGGAGCTCCAAGACGTGCAGGATCTGCTCTGGGAGGCACTTCAGACAGTGAGCAACAGCTTCCTGGATGAGCAGGAGGAGAGGAACGGCATGATCGGGAATATCTACAGCATGGGGCTGGCCCTGCAGGTAGGGGAGGTGCCAGGGGAGTGTGGAGTCGCGGCCACCTGGTCCCATTCCCAGATGTGCCATTCCACATCCCACCCACTCCACAGGCACTGGAGGCCACAAGGAAGTTTTATGAACCACGGGACTGGGACTGTGCCCAGGCCTTCTCCAGGGTGTTGGCCCACGACTACCAGCAGCCCATGGCCATCGCCCAGGTGCTGCCAGCCCTGGTGGGCAGGTCCTACCTGGATGTGGCTGGCCTGGACTGTGCTGCCACCATGTCCCCAGGCCGACAGCTGCCCCTGCCCCCAGTGCTGGGGACACACGTACCCAGAGGTACGCCGGTCCCACCTGGAGTCACCCAGACCCCACAGGGATGATGTTCCCACCCTGTGCCCACTGAGGGTGTGCCAGGGGCCCACCCTGCCCTCTCTCCCTGCACAGCCCTCATCCAGGTGCATTACTGCATCACCAACAAGCTCCAGGGAATACAATTCCACAACTGCACCTCAGTGGAAGTCCCAAGTGGCTCCACTCTGCTCCTGGTGATGGAGGAGGCAGCAAAGAAGGACCCCCAAACCTTTAGGTGAGAGCCAGGGTGGCTTTGGAGGTGGGGTTTGCCATTTCCCCACCCAGCTCTGAGCCTCCTCAACTCTCCCACAGCTTCCAGACGGAGCAGACATTCTGGGGTCCCTATGTGACCTCCATCCACGGGCTGGCTGGCAGCACGGAGGACAGGACCTACTGGAAGTTCCTCAGTGCTGGGAACGCCCTCGAGGAAGGTGGGGAAGGGGGCCAGGGATGGTGCAGGGGAGTTTGTGATGGGGATCTCCATGTCCCAGCCTCACACATCCCTCTGCTGCAGGGGTTGGCACCTACAAACCACACGATGACGAGCACATCCAGGCCATCTTCAGCCGATACTGATGCCAGCAAGACACCCTGGACCCCTCCATGGAGCAATAAAGTGACATTCCAGCATGTCCTTGTGTGTGTGTGTGTGTGTGTGTGTCTGGGAGATAACACCGCTCACATCCCTTCTGTCTTCCTTCCTGCTTAATTCCATGAGCTCAGCTCCTCTCCTTCTCTTCCCCAGCACCACACACAAGCACAGCCTCACCCAAACTCCATGGAGTCAATTCCCTCCTGGACATCCACAAAGCCTTTCCCCAGCAGCCATGGGCCTGTTCCTCCAGGCACATTGCTGTGCTTCAGTTCAACCTATTCTGATCCCCACACAAGCTTTCATGGCATGGACCAGATGCAATTATCTCCATTTGATTATTACAACACCAATTAGCACCAGCCTCAGGCCAGCAGTTGCATTTCCTCAGGCCAGCAGTTGCATTTCCCCCCCGGAAATCCACAGGTGGTGGCCTGGGGTTTCAGCTGATTCTTATCTCGATTCTGTGACTCCATCTCTGGGCAGGAGACACCAGCACCTCCCAGCTGGGTCCCATTCCCTACTCCCACTGGGCCTTGTCCAGCCAGACCTTCAGCCTGGACCTGCTCCCAGCTGGACCCTTCTCACCCAAACCATTCTGTGGTTCCACAGACACTGTCTCCAGAAGGA